CCCCCCCCCAATTAATGAATTTCTTCCTTGTTCAAGAAAAATTCTCATTATTCAGCATTTGCTAATGTTTTGTTTCCATAGTGTTGATTATAAAGTCCTGAATTTCTGCAGACAGCTTAAGTTTTTTGCCAAAAACTTCATTCTAAGATGCATTCAAGAGAATCATGAAAGGATTTTTTGATCGGCATGAAAGATTCTTTTTTTTTTTTTCTTCTCCTCCTTTTTGTAATACAAGAGTTCTCTTTTCGATTTCAAGCGGAGAATAAAATTGCAATCTTTAGAAATAAGTGATTTTTCGCATCTGTCTAAGCTTTGATAGCAGAATTATCTAGTACCCGTACTAGTGCTATAACAGATATCCGATGGAATGGTCGAGGTGCGTGCAATTTGGTCCAAACACTACCGTCACTAAAAATTTCTCCAGTTTCGTCTATACCTGCTACCTTCTACGAGTAAAAGTACCGAGTAATTTTGCCCATAAAGACTTGGGCGTATGGAAAGAAATCACAAACATTTTTTTAGCGCACTTGGGCACATCCTTTCAGAATTTAAAAGAAAAACAATAATAAAAGGGAAAACGAAGTGAACGAACTTCATTCAAAGGAGAAACCAACTAGGAATATCATTACTTGGCTTTAGTTTGCGTACCTTAATTCTCATTTTCACTTTGTTAGTGACACAATCAAGGGGTCATTATCACTGGGATTAGAGAATGTAAGGGATGAGACAATTTCTCTCCGTTGTTTTAATTATGTTAAATTTATCAAAGGAAATGATCCTTCATTACTAGATGTATATTACTTTATTCTCAATGTATGTAATTGGTGTAATCCATCAAATTAACTTTTTAAAATTTGATTTTGGGGGAATAAACGTAAACAAACCAATTCAATCTCTTTTAACTTTTTACATTCCCAAGTTTGTTTTAAAGATCAAACTCATCCTCCAACTTTGAACAACTATCATTCTGCTCCTTATATTAAAGGTGACTTCTTAAAATGTCTATTTTACTTGTTACAAATTTTATCTCTTATTTTAATTCTTTAATATAATAAAATTTTCTTACTTTAATTTATGTTATCGACTTACAGATAGACAAATTAAAAAAACTTTTTCGAAATCAAAAAAAGTGAGAAGTAATAGTCAAGAATATAAGTTAATGATGTTCAATGGTGGAATAAATGAGAAAAATAAGAAATTACAATAAATAATTTACTCATATCAGTAATTTTATTAATAGAAATCAAAACTCAATCTATTTACAAAATTGAGAATAAAAGAGAGTGAAAATTTTATAAATTATACAAGGAAAATTTTATAAATTATACAATGCAAGTAATAAAAATATAATGGGCAAAAAATAGATGTAAATTTTATAATAAATTTGTAGAAATTATCTATTTACATTTTACAAGAACTTTAATTATAATTTAGAAAAAATCAAGTAATAACAATCAGAACACAAAAACTCATATACACATATAAAATAATAAAAATAGTAGAACTTAAAATCACACACACACCGACATAAATTATATGCATTTTAATATACATAATATTAAAATAATAATAATAATAATAAAATAGCAATATATTTTGTAATAAATTTTTAATATGAATATTTATTTATAATGTTAGTGAACTTAGATTAAATATATAATAAGATATAATATTTTTAACATAAAAATAAATACCTGCATTAAAATATATCTAAATAATATAAAAAAAGGTAGTGTGTATGTGTGTATATATATATATATGGGGAGTCGAAAATATCGAGGGTAATATAGAGATTGCGTAGGATGAAAGGATGAAAATGACAAATGTTCAAAATTGAAGGATGAGTTTAATTTTTAGAGTAAACTTGGGGGATGTAAATGATTTTTACCCTAGCTTATTCCCTTTTATAGCCAAACATACACTAACTTGTGAAGGAAAAATCCCAATCAAATTCTTACGAACCTTTTAAAAAAACTCTCACTTTTTGAATATCAAATGAGATTTATACAGTATAATATGGAGAATAGATTCACTACTAATTTAAGTTGAAGAATACGATTAAGAAAGACTGTTGATGCTTATTAATGTCACTTTATTAGAGAAAATTCCATTCGTTAAATAAACAAACATATATGTATAGCTGGCGAAGAAAAAGTACAACTAAGGGATCATAAAATTGTATTTACCCATTGAAAAAGTAATAGGCTTGTGAATCAAGCTTTCTAATTTATGAGATTAGAGTATGTAATCATCATCTAATTATGAGATGCCTTTAAATCTTTATACGCAAGAATCATTTTGCTGATATATATCTTAATCGTACGTGAAAAATATTGAAAATTTGTTTTTTTTTTCCTCTTCTTTTGGCAGTTGTCTAGTGAGTACACCACTTTTAAAAAGATAAAGTTCTGCCAACTTTGCATGCATATAATTTTCAGGAGCACACCAAAAATAAACTTTTTTCTTTGATTAAGATGGATCACTACTTGTTTTGCTTTGTAGAAGATAAGGTTTATATAAATCTCCAATGAATAAGGAGAAGTAATCAAATTGTTAAGGAAATTTAAGAACTCGTTTTTATACCTTGAGAATAAGATAAAACGTCAAAACAAAGTGATTACGTTGCAGTAACGGAACAATATATTTACCCAGGAAAGATTGTGGTGGAATAGATAGGATTTCGTTCTCCATCGATCATTTGGGTTCGAGCCTTTAAAATGGAATTTTATTTTTATGAAGAGCGCTTTCCCTTTTAATAAATCTTATTAGATTAGTTAGAGTCCCGGTTAATGATATAAGACACTATAAGTGGGAAACATATATATATTTGTCACTTGTTTTACATCATTGAATGCGTAATGTAAACATTGTGCAGGAATATTCTGTTGTTTCGTGTGGCTTTAACATTTGGCTTTGCTTTATTTTAGGGGGGACAGATTGGAATTTGTATGCAGATCGATAAGCCAAATTCTTCCTTCTTTCTTACAAGTCCGTATGTTCAATAAATTATGAATTTAACTTATATCCGTTAAAAGTATAATCTGCTATTATATATATATATCCGTGCAATTTAATCTGCTATTGAAGATGCTTTCAATTTTCAAGTTATTAATATTACTACTCCTTCCGTCTCATATTAATAGTCATTATTACTAAAAATAGTTGTCTCAAATTATTTGTCATTTTAGAAGTACAAGACAAAATCGTTTGTTTTTTTTTTCATTTTTAACCCTTAGTAATAATTGTTCCTGAAGATAGAGATAACACATAAATTGAATAAATAAACAATGAAGAGAAATTATATCTTAAGATATAAATAAGGGTAGAATAGTCTAATCCCTTTTATAATATTAATATTTCTTAAGGGGCGTGTAAAAGAGAAACACAACATATAATATAAGTCGAGAGAGTAATTGTTATGAGTAACTAACTATACAAAGTAGATATAAAGACACAAAGGATCTCCAAGGTGGCAATGATATTGATAGTTGGGGAAGCTAAACCAACTCAAATTTAACATAATATCGAAGCAACTGTAGATTTTGGTTTGAATCTCATCATTTATTGTCAACAAAATATTTCACGTATTTGACCAAGAAGTCAATAAAAAATTAAAAGTATATATACCATAAATTCAACCATTTTTGTGAGTTAATTTCCTCATGATTTTACTTGTACATATTCGACATCACAAACAACTTCCTTTTTGTTTTGTGATTTTCATCATCAAATTTCCAACCATTTTTTTGGGGCGAATCTAGGCTTAATTAAGCTTATGGGTTTTCGTCAACTTAAAAATTTTTGCTTAAATTTTGTATTTGTATTAAGAAGTTTACTGTAAATCCATTTATTATTATATATATGACTCAAAATTGCAATAAAAATCTATAAACTTTAAATTTTGGATCGGTATCCGCTGACTTGAAGCCATGCAATTGCATGAAAGTTGTTTTCTATTGGTCTTTTTGTAGAAAAGTCTGAGACAATTCCAATGTTTCCTCTCCAATCAAAGATTAATTCCCTTTGGTGGGGTTAAGGATTTGGATGGATAAAGTAAACAGGATTCTCCACAACTAATTAATCCAATTATTCCTTTTCTAGAATTTTACATTCTTTCTTCTAGACTTTTAGTTATATGGTCACATACTACATTTTCATGGTCTTACATCATTGTATAGGAATTTACTTATGAAATACGTACGTGTCGATAGTATATCTGTATAACGAGAAACGTAGAGCATTTGAAGAATTCAATATTCTTAATGTAGACATTTGTCTTTTATGCAGAGACAGACAGATTTAAGATTTGAGCTTTATAAATTAGAATTCGTAATTCTATCTTAACTCATTTGATTTATTGAGTTCGAATCCAATTATTTGCACTTGTTTATGAACATTTTAAACAAATATATTAGATTCGAGTCAGAAATACTGAGTTTGTATGAAGCCATAACTTACTATCTATATTCGCGTTCATGTATATATATATCGATGCACATAACCAAAACTTATATGTTATAGAGTAATTTTTTTTAATTATAGTGTACAACTTTTACACCATCAGGTTAAGATGGTCTATAACAGTAGATAATAATTATTATAGTTGTCCTAATTTGATAATCTACAAATACAACAACTAATCGGCTAAAATATATTGATAATGTAAAAGTTTTTTACTCTATCAATATATCAGTTAATTTCTTGAAAACAACTTCTCTATCTGAGAGCAACCTCTCTACATGCACAGTGTAGGAGTAAGGTCCACGTAAACATAATCCTTCACAGACCCAACATGTAGGAATATATTAGGTGTATTGCTGTTGTTATTGTTGTTGTAATGTATCAGTTAATTCTATATTATATGTAGCCAAGTTATCTATATAAACCCTGCACACTTATATATATATTCCCAAGCTGCACACTTATATATATATTCCCAAGCTGCACACTTATAGATATATTCCCATATTATTCTCCTTTCTTCTACAAATTTTTTTGTATTTATTAACTCCACACATACTAAGAAGAAGATGTCTGGTGTTTGGGTATTCAAAAATGGAGTACTCAGACTAGTAGAAAATCCAGGAGATCATTTCCAAGGTTCTAGGAAAGTGTTGGTTCATGTTCCTACAAATGAAGTTATTACATCCTATGCAATTCTTGAAACTAAACTATATAACCTTGGTTGGGAAAGGTACTATGATGATCCAGAATTACTTCAATACCATAAGAGATCTACAACTCATCTTATTACTCTACCAAAAGATTTCAACAAGTTTAAAACCATGCATATGTATGATATTGTTGTCAAGAATCGCAATGAGTTTGAAGTTAGAGACATGTGAGAAGAAAGACATTAAAAAAAAAGTTTATGTTTTGCCTCATTTTTCCAGGTGTGATTAGGCTTCTTGAAATCATGTTGTATTTTGTTTTGGTTGGTTTTCACAGTGTTGCAATTTTGTTATGGCAAGGTTTTGTTTCATGGTGCTTGAAAGTCAATGTTGTGTATTTAGGGATATTATCACTTTTAAGCCGCGCTATAAACTATTTACATCTGGTAGCCGAAAAAGTGTATAAAACTTGTATAATTTTTCTATATAACATACAGAATATATATATATATATATATATATATATATATACAAATTTTATACATTTTTCGGCTATTATTTTTACAGCGGCTATACAGTGTCATTTTTTCGTGTATGTATTTATAGGAGTTGTTTGCATGTACAAATTCAGAATTTGAGTTTATGGGTTTAGATTCTAGAAAAGGAAGCTTACTATATTCTAAATAAATTATTTTTATATATTAAATAGATTTCTTAAGATAAATACATGATTTTGTCCAAAATTACTGGGTTCTGCCGAATCCGTAAACAGAACTCTAGCTCCGTCCCTAATTGTTTGAATAGTTTGTCTTAAAGTAAATGAATTCACAAATGAACTGCAAACTGATCTTGTCTAAACGATTATTGTATTGCTACTACAAGTAGAAACAACTAGAGAGGGAGAGCTTCTCAAGTGTAGAAATCAGAGCTAATTAAGCCGTTCATGTCTTGAGAAATTGTATTATACATGCATATGGTTATTTATTTGAATTTAATTTGTTGTTGGATTAATTATATGAAGTATTAATTACTTACTACTAGATTGATTGGTATTCATTATTAGCTACAGAGAAGTGGATGCCAAAAAATAAATGTGCTTCAAGAGTTGTGGGAGGTAGGGTTGGGTATTCGGGCGATTCGGATTGGATATGAAAATTTCGGTTTGGATTTTCGATTTTGGGATTGAAGAAATGACAATCCAAATCCAATTCAAATAAACTTGTCAGTTTAAGGCCAATCCATCAATTTATGGTCAGTTTTGACTTCACCTTCCTACACTGAGATGGTGATATAGGATCACAAAGGATTGTGGTGCGATGAATTACACAGTTTTTAACTTAACATTCCTACACTTAAATGGTAGTATAAGATCACCTAGGATTGCGGTGCGATGGATAGGATTTCTCTCACTCTTAATTAGAAGTTTCGAATTCGAGTCATTGGTATGTAGTTTTTTTTGATAAAAAGCGTTTTTCTATTTAATGAATCTTACGTGGTATGAATACAAATTGCTACGTACTTTGGGTATATATATGGTAGGGGTCTTGTCACGCCGCAAAACCGATGAGCGCGACCGGCGCTCAACCGAGTGAACCCGGCCGAGCAAGCCTATTAGATTTCCTTCTACCCAAACTCATTCATGAATAAAGAGAATATATATATTCGTTAATCAAACAATAAAGTGATCATGTCTGTAATACCAATTTTTTTTTACCATTAGTCACTTCATTTCAAAGTCTCAATTTCCCACACATTTTTCAAAATCTTAAGTGGAAATAGTAATTCAAACACAACATAACGCATTTAACTTCTCGAGCACCAATATACAACTCACACTATGTCTACAGAGCCTCTATAGATAAAGAAGAGTACAATGATAATGTCGGCAACAAGGCCCCGACAATACCTCAAACAGAATATACAAAGTACAATAGATACATGACCCCAGGATGAAGTGGGGCTCACCAAGTCAGGTGGGAAGAAGGTGTATTGCTATCACTGATCAATATCTCCTGCTGTGGAACCACCTGCATCCATTTAAAGATGCAGCGCCCCCGATAAAAGGGACGTTAGTACTGTCGAATAGCACTAGGATGTATAACTAAACGCCCTCTCAATAGAACAAATAATATTACAAGGAGGAATAATCATAAAATCAATGAAAGTCTCGAACAATACCAAAACATTAAGTTTTACGTAAATTCCCATATTTTCAAATTGGTGATTCTTAGCACCGATATACCATTGTTCACAATATCATTATTCACAACACCACCAATACCACCGTACTCTTAGCACGGAGTCCGATCACGACCCGATCGGTTAGGCTGTCTTATTCGAGACATCAACCCCTTTGTTTTTTTTCTTTTATCAAAGCATTTCGTATTTCTTTCATTAAAGTACATCATAAGACTACAAAATATTGTGTAGGTTCAAATATCAAGCCTTATTATACTTGCATCATTCTAAACTTCTTTTAGGGTCAACCGAGCCATATAATCTATACTCAGAACACATAATATAATGTAATTCAAACAACATGTACAAACGAGGACAACGAGGGTGGAACCTATTGTCTGCATTAATAATGCGTCTCATTAGACTGTCCTTTGTGTTCATATATCATATTATACACTTATGTGTTTCATAGACCGTCCATAGTGTTTATTCATACAGTATACATATACATCTCATATACAATGCACCTATGTGTTTCATAAACCGTCCACAGGATTTCATAACACAATATACCTATATGTTTCATAGACCGTCCACAGGATTTCATAACACGATATACCTTGTGTTTCATAGACTGTCCACATGATTTCATAATACAATATACCTATGCGTTTCATAGACCATCCATAGAATTTTATAACACGATATACCTATGCGTTTCATAGACCGTCCACAGGATTTCATAACACGATATACCTATGCGTTTCATAGACTATCCATGGGATTTCCTAACACAATATACTTATGCGTTTCATAGACCGTCCACATAATTTCATAATATAATATACCTATGCGTTTCATTATTCGTGTTTTGGCAAACTACCACAATTCATGTTCATACTATCGCTTACTTGCACTAGCCACGGGTGATCATAGGACATTAATGACATTATTATGTAAATGAACTAAAACTCATTTTATAATGTTCATGTATTCTTTCACTTCATTGGCACTATTGGCCACATATTTAATTCTCATTCTGGGCACGATGGCCATATTATTATTCCATACTCACCCATTTCACTTTCAAGCATCATCATCATCAACAACAACAACAACAAGGCATTATAAATCAATGTTTTTAGTGCACATGTGAACAATTAAGAGTCTTAGGCACATAGAGGGTTTTCACAAAATTTGGCTTAATATCCTTTGTTGAACTTGACTTGAAGTCGCAATATTATTTACGCATAACCCAATGACCCATACTTTGAACATATTCTCAAATACCTATACATATTATAGACCGTCCATAGGATTTCATAACACGATATACCTATACGTTTCATAGACCGTCCACAGAATTTCATAACACGATATACCTATGCATTTCATAGACCGTTCACAGAATTTTAAAACACGATATACCTATGTGTTTCATAGACCGTCCACTTGATTTTATAACACATTATACCTATGCGTTTCATAGACCGTTCACAGGATTTCATAACACAATATACATATGCGTTTCATAGACCGTCCACAGGATTTCATAACACGATATACTTATGCGTTTTATGCGTTTCATAGACCGTCCACAAGATTTCATAACACAATATACCTATGTGTTTCATAGACCGTCCATAGGATTTCATAACATGATATACCTATGCGTTTCATTATTCGTGTTTTGGAAAACTGCCACAATTCATTTTCATATTATCGCTTACTTGCACTAGCCACGGGTGATCATAGGACATTAATGACATTATTATGTAAAGGACCTAAAACTCATCTCATAATGTTCACGCATTCTTTCATTTCATTGGCACTATTGACCACATATGTAATTCTCATTCTGGGCACGATGGCCACATTTAGTATTCCATACTCACTCTTTTCACTTTCAAGCATCATCACCATCATCAATAACAATAAGGCATTACAAATCAATATTTTTAGTACACATGTGAGCAATTAAGAGTCTTAGGAACATAGAGGGTTTTCACAAAATTTGGCTTAATATACTTCGTTGAACTTGACTCAAAGTCGCAATATTATTTACGCACAACCCATACTTTGAACATATTCTCAAATGATAGCATAATATAGTAAAATCATCTTGGGATACATATTGTACATATATCTTTCATCACAAGCTTATTCGGAATAGCCGCTTTCATAATGAACAATTCGGGACTTTACATAAATTGCATGGATACCGTGGGATTTAGTTCTAGGAGAGGAGTTTAGCCAACATACTTCAAATTCATCCCTTAATGATACTACAACGATGCACTACACTAATCAACTTCAATCTATAATTACAATATCCAATGAGACCAATATTAGTAACAAATCTCATAGGTTCATTGTATTCATAAATTTCATCGCCAAGATTACCATTCATCTTCTCTCTTATTTTTTTCAAAAGTACTATTCATGCCATGAACTAGAGTTTTATAATCCAATCTTTCAACCATTAAAACTTGTAACAAATGCTTCAAATACTTCTAACTACTCATAATAAATGAGTTTGAAGCATTAGAATTACCTATAGTAGATCAATCTTGAAAAATCACAACTTTGGTGATTTTTGTGTTCTTGAGGATTTGATGATAAAATCTAGTATTTGGATCTAAGAATGATGTTAGAACTCATGTATATTGAGTAATAATCAACCCAAAATATCATTAACAACTTACCTTGGTTGATTGGACTTGATTTGAGCTCAAAATCGCCCATTCACCTCAAGAACCCTAACCCCACAATACTCAAAATACCCCTCTTCCCCGACCTTGTATTTATAGGCCCAGATTTTTGGGTTTTGGATGCGGCCCTGGATGCTTCGCATCCCCACTTCACTCCTCTTTGAAGCTCGGATGCGGACCCGGACGCTATGGCAGCACTTCACTGCCAGCCTCTCTTTCAGACGCGGCATCGGATGTTTCGCATCTGGAGGCTCCTCCGCTAGCCTTTGGTAATTTGGTCATAACTTCTTATAGGAATGTTAAAATGATGAACGGTTTGAAGGTTAGAAATTAGACTCGAAGACCTTTAATTTGATAGGTAATACATCACATAAATCCTTATATATATGTAGATATTCCCATCAAAAATTTAGTCTTATGCGCACTCATTTGGAACTTTAGTCTATCATGAAATTTCCAACTTGACTTGGACTTAGGGCTCTCCCTAGACCCCACATCACTTATAATGTGATTTGTACACTTATTATCATATTCAATTGATATCCATCCTA